CACAAACTTTCCTGTCCTTGTCCTTCGACAATGTCGGCACATTCGTTAGGACTGTCATCCCCATGGATCGAATGGTATTGTCCTATTGTTAAACGCTAACCAAAATTAGTAAACAACATGGCGGACTCGACTCGCCGGAATGCCCGGGCGTCGATCATAAAAAGTGTGGATAGCTGCTCGAATTCGCCACTCCGGTTCAAATTTTGAGCATAAACGAATATTATACAGTACAAGGATTGCTGCCGCTGCCCCGCGCGTTAGGTATTCCCCCCTGTTCGCCTCCGCGCGTGCCCGGACACTCCCTCGCGTGTCCGGGCGTTAAATAGTAGGACCCTAAAATACTGGTAGTGAATGTTTTTTTTTTTTTTACTGTACGGTAAACAGCAAGTTCTCAAGTTCGAGTCTCAGCTGTACACCATTACTAAGAGAAATATTGGAAGAATTAGAATGGGGAAACTATCCAGAACAGTATTAGCCGTGGTTCCCGTCGTTTTTTAAGATCCGTGCTGTACATCGACGCTGCCGTGTATACTGGCAGACGAAGCCTAGGACCCTCTCCAGACCCAAAACGCCGCGGAACCACGGCTAGAACAGTACAAGTCGCAGTGTCCGGAAGTTGAGAATCACATAACAAGCAATGCTGTCCAGCAAACACTCAGTGTTCGAAAATGCCATATTATATCGACTCGAAGATGTGTGCCAAATCAAACACTTTGCGAATACCTACCTACAGATGTGATTGGAATATATACTTGTCAAGAAAGCAGATTATGTTGCAGTATATATCAACAACTTCAGTGCCTGCTTTGTTTTTCTTCAACGCAACTCAAACGTGGGATCAGATGCAAAACAAAGATGGCGGCAAATTTTAGTGACGGAACTATTGAGGGCGCAGTTATGTGTTTGGGGTTAGACCGACGGTCAGACCAACTTACGTATTTGGGTCAGATGCTTGCATGTTCACAAAATTTTAATCCATTTTTGGTTGATAAACATAACATATTTATGAATTTGACAACTACTTTTGGCAGTCAAGACGATTACCGTTACGTAATCAAATCAAAAGAGGTGCATCTTAGAAACGATCAATGAATTTGTTTTTTATTAAAACTATACTCCTGAAAGAACTCTACCCATCACACGAGCATGACATGTGCAAGAACTAACTTACATATACATGCATCTCCAGGAAAGTTTGTAAAATGCAGTAATGGTGCATCTTTATTTGAAGAATGAAGCTCGTATTTTTAACTGCTCTTCTCTGTAGAATTCTTAAGAAAATTACCTTTACAGAACTCGCAAGTTTGTCTTTCATGAATTTCAGAATTACAATTTATGGCAGTTATAAAAATAGTGTCAATAACAAAACTCGTCAAAAATCAGTGAAAATAAATTCCATACAAAACACCCATGATTTGTTCAGCGAAAATTAAATCCAGCTGAAATAAAG